AATTTCACTCGCTGTTAATTGCATGGGAGTGGCAGTCTTTAATGAATTTCTATTGTCATGTCAATTTCTTGCGATTACTCGAACATTAAGCTGTAACCACATACCGCCTAGGTGCTGTAATTAAATCCTGGTGTAAGCACCATATGAACTATGAACAATGCATGTGAAGCCAGCTGTGGGGTATATTCAATCCTATAGATTTCTCATTGTTTGGTAACTATTTGCTGCAAATGCAGCAAAAATCAATATAAAAAATATTACCCACACAGTATTCTACAGGTTACTTGTAGAGAATAGAATTTGTCAAATTTTGTCATAAATGCGTAAAATCTGGAAAAATATATGATTTATATGTAATCGGACAACATTTTGCGATAGTTCAGTGTCTTATAAGTACTCGTAACTGGTTTGGACAAGGTATTTCGTATTTTGAGGTGTGATATTCGGCTGCTAGAAAAATGTGTGCACATTTTGTTTCCTCCCTTGTCTTATATATAGTGCAAGCTGATCGGCCGGAAACAAGTTTTAGTGATTTTCGTGGTTTCGGAGCGTGATGATTAAATTTAATAACATATGCTTGATTCACATTACTAAACTGTTTTAATTCTATAATTTCTATTATTTTGAGCAAGGACAAGGTTCTGTACCGGGACATAGTCGCTCGGTCTCATAGACGTCCATGCATTGAGACGAATAGATTGTCAGGCCCCCGTGGGTATGAACACAACGACAATGGCAAGTCTCGGTAACTTACTTACTCACGATTATTATAACTGGCACGATGATTCCTTTCTTGCAACAATTCAGAGATGCGTGAAGCAATCCAGACACTTTCATTCGACCACAGGATACTGCAGATATTTTATCAACGAGATGTGATCATTCCCCTCAGCGTTGTGTTTTTTTTACTGACACGATCGTGCAGTCGTTTTGACTCGAAAAAGTCTTTGGGCGCATATATTTCGATCACACTGACTCCAAGATGCGTTCAATCCCTCGCCGATACATGTGAAATAGTTCCACAAAGTCTCAGAGTCAGTAGCGTTGAATAACAACTAATGGTAATTATTTGCCGACATCAACTGCATCAGTCGACATGATCAGTCGCCATTTTCTTCACACGCACACACACGAGGCATGCTCTGGAATTTTCCCCTCTTCCCAGTTCTCCTGAAACGCGAGCGCTGATTGGCCAACAAGCGTCAATTCCCAGTTCGCCTAGAAACCGTACACAGTCACCATGACGCAATGTCTAATCATAGACATAACTCCTGATTTCCAAGGGTACGTTATAAAATACATTATGTACAAATAAAATATACAGTAGACACAGGCACAATATTGGACTAGGTATCTGGGAAACAAAGTCAGTATAGCATTAAATTGTCACTAGCTACAAAATTACAAATTGTGACACATACATACTGAGAGGTGTGAAATCCACACTATGGAGTCTCAATAAATTAGTATGCACACGTGTTCCGCTGTTAATAATAAATGACAACAGTGAAATATTGAATGTAGAGGTGATTATATGACGAGATATCACGCAAGCTGCAAGCGCTATGGGAGGTGACCGTTATTAAAAAACTATGCGTGTGCAATACGTGTCGTGTTTCATGTCATGCCATGCCATTATTTCGAACTCGTATAAATACCGAGCAATGTACGCTAGTGTGCATAGCAGCTTGATTGGACACTTGCACACAGATTTGTAGATTGGGAGTCAGCTACCATAGCGAATGGTCCGGAATATATTACGACAAAATGACTCAAAACGTGTCTACTGTGGATATATACAAACACACTAATTATGTTTCATATTAGTTTGCGATATACACACAACACAAAATTAACAATTAGATATATGTGCGCTCACTTGATTTAAAGTTGAGTTAATATTGATGTACAATAACCTTTATCCAAATTACAAAGCTCTCATATGATATTATTGTTGTTGTTGTTATTTGAAAAAAAAAACGCCTTAGTTTATTATTATCGTCAATAATAAAAAGATGTTGGTTTTCTCTAACACTTTGATGGTGTTTCCTTGGCTGGAAGCCAGATATTGGCATTGAGAGTCGACATTCACAAAATTTTTGCTGATCACGGTCATCAAATACAAATGTAGTGTTAGAATATTACACAACCTCTGCACATTGTTAACACGTTTTATACCAGCTGTACTTTTCAACAGCCCATACAGGTTACGGAATTATTTTGTGTATGTGCAGGCTGGTTGTACCGTTCATTGCAAATACTGACCATTTCAGTATAATTGAATGTGATTTTAGGTTGTCCAGTTGACCACGTTTGGTGAGAATAAATATGTTGTTAATTTGGTCAGTAGTTTAAATATTAGCATTATGACCCGAACACCCTCATGCAGTCGAAGCGGAAGATGCTGTTAACTGCGGTAACGCCCACCCCTGGGTTTATTCTAACTTTTCGTATTGAAATATTGCTCAGTTGTAAATTGTTTACAAATGGTTGTTATGTAAACATCCGTGGCGCGTACGACTAAAGCGTAGATCTAACTACACTGATCCCTGTAATGTTCTGATGAAAATATACCCGCATTTTAGGCAGTCAGAAATTATTAGTCACCAAGTGATCTGAATGTATAAATAATTGACCATTTGCGTGTAGTAATCACAAGTAATTAGATGTTGAGCACTATACCTCCAAGTTTTAAAACACGTATTTTCTGCGATTGTTGAGGTTGTAATTTGTTGTGGTATTTTACTAATTTTTGGTACCATCTACAAAATGATTATATATAGTTGAGAACAACAATTAACAAACTTTTGATAAAAACATAAAAGCAACATTAGATATGCGTGGTCCCAAATGCTTATAAAATATAATTTTACAAAATGTGTAAGTATTTGCACTGAATTTTGGGCGAGAAAAAATATCTGGCGCTCAAAGGGGTAATCTTTGTTCCTCTGTTATTTGTTGGGTACATAGCAAACCGTCTATAGATGTGCTTACTGAAACCAAGGAATACCATTACATCAGGCATTCATCTCAAACTTCCGCTATAAGTAAAACGAACGACCGGGGTTGCTTACATGTCGAGTAAATGCTTTGAACGTTGCAAACTGTCGATGGATCGATCAAATCTTTCGGTTAAAGTTTCTCCAATTAAATTAGATAATAAAAGAACCCATGCCATATTAATTAAACTATCATTCGACAACATGCCAACGAAACATAAGTATCCTCAACAAACTCAACAGAGGCATGTGTTCGTACTCGTCTGAATCGGTATCAATAATCGAGGCATGCAGCGGTTTTGTGTGATAGACAGTGCAGCAAATCCTACACTAACTTTGAAAAATATGAAGTTTTTTTGTATTAACAAGTGCCTTTAATTACATCACCTATGTCTCTGGATTAAAATTAATACCACGAATTCAACCCCTTTTCAATCATTTAAGTCTCCTGCAACGATCGTCATAATAAGTTCAGAGAAAGCCGTTTTCGCTGGTGTCTCATCACACGCTACCTGGTACGTTTTTAATTTCACACAAAACAAAACTCATACCGTGTGACCTTATGTTAATTTATCCCAATGTCTCAAAATCGTATTTAAAGCCTAGGGATGAGACTGTTCTAGATTCGTTCTATCTCAGGCGTACCATTCGTAATATGCTCCGCCAACAATGTTCCTTGCTTCTGCTATTCGCCCTCGTGGCGCACACAGCGAGTATGGTATATGAACAGCCGGCTCCGATTCTGCCCATTGATGATCCCTGGCCAGATATTGCAGATGAAGACAGTTATGATTTTGGAAAAGCGGTTCGTATGTCAAAACGTCAAGTAGGTTAGTACCATAAAATGAACATATTTAGATTGATATACATTTCACATACATATATATTTAGCGAGTTGTATGATTATATATAGGATATGAACATGCCATATTAACTCTATTTCAACATCATTAATTTGTCACTGTGTATTGAAAGCGCTCTTATACTAGAAATGTACGTGTATGGCTAAAACTCTCAATAAAAGAATTCACACAGGTAGGACTCATGGTTTATTCCACTCTCATAGGGTATGACTACGGAGATGCCCTAAAGGCCTCTGTACAATTTTATGAAGCTCAACTCTCTGGGAATATACCTGAAAACGATCGTGTCTATTGGCGAAAACCGGACAGTGCACAGAGTGATAGCGGCAACTTTGGCGAAGATTTGAGTGGTGGCATGTATGACGGTAAGTACAATTTCTGACACAGATGAAGTGTGTAACAATACGTAGAGGTACACAAGATGTGTATATCAAGATATACCTATAGCCGGGCTTCAGACTTCACAAGAGCTTCAGGCATTGGTGTTCTGATTATTTCATTTCCATAAGCACAAGTGAATTGCCATGTTTTTATATGCTCATAAAAAAATCCATATATATGCAAACAGTTTTTGTCAATTTGCGAGGAGGATAAATAGCATACTTCACGTCTCGGCTCAGGCACACCATCCTGTTATCATGTTGAGTCATCTAACCAATGACAGAGGTAAATAAATATATGATTATATTATATCACTATTTCAACATGTTAAAAACGTCGCTGTGATTGGTCAAATTCATGCATTATGGGTTCGGCGTTCTTATTTATGCCCGAACAATGCATAGGTAATATTTATACTAAACCACCAACATTCGAGAAACGAGTTGAATACAAAATTTAATTTAAAGGAAATGAAATATCAAATTGTTGATGTTACATTATTTTGATTTATATAGACAAGGTAAAAAGTAAAACTCGGATTTCATAATAAAGAAAAGAACGACAGGCGCACTCCCGCAATCCTCACAAAATTGTAGACGCGTTACAATTTCTAGGTGCATGCCTGTACGATTTCGTCGAGCGTACGATTAGATCAAAACTACGTGGGTGTATCAGCTCGGTGCATCTAAACTGGTTTAAGGGCTCTTTCTTAGATTTCACTGTTTTGGACGTTTTTTTTTTTTTTTTTTTTTTCGTTTTTTTTTGTTAATAAGTACATCACAATTATATTGTTATGATGGGCATATAAATAAACCATGCATTGTCTGGCCATGTAACTACTAAGATTTTGCGCAGTGGTTGAGTTTGTGCTGTTTTGTCGACTTTTGCAAGAGTGCCTGTCAAGCCAAGAGAAACGCCTTCAAACGTGCTCCAATCCATATTATGGTTTAATGTTGGCATAATCTGATCATGGTGGTGGTATAAATGTGTCAGCAATATTCTTTATATAGTTTGTTTGAGTTTTCTCAGTCAGTTGACAAACTTCTGTTAGTTGAAAAGTACGGTGTATCGGTGCGATTCCGACTAACATTGAATGTTCCGTGACGTAGCAGCTATGCTCGTCCGGTTAATACGACATCGTTGTGCTTTCATGAGACATCTCCAAATACACATGGCCGGGCGATGGCATATTCCTTAAAGGGCGGCAGTCGTTGTGCCGCGTCCTGCTCGATATGGGACTCACAGCGACGTATACAACGCGTGTAAAATACATTGTTTATTTACATGAAATTAGAACACGCGCTGTGCGACGACCACCGCGCTTTAAGTATACAATATGAATTGCGCACGGCGTCGGACCAAACTGTGTACTTTTGAAAGTCGAGATGAAATATGCCCCAAATCTATTTAAATGCACAAATAACTGCTAGAGAATTTACCGTCTCGAAAAATTCGGTGGAAGCAAGAGCAAATAAAATCAACCCATCACCATTATATAATAGGTAAACCTAAAATCAAAAGGTGTTTAAGAAATTAAAGAAACGTCAGTATAACATACGTTCTTATCTAGCCGGTGATCACGTCAAGTTTAACCTTCCTATGGCCTGGACTACAACTATGTTGGCATGGGGTTACATCGAATTCGAAGCTGCGTATAATGATACAGGAGAAGCGAACACAATCAGAGAGATTTTGAAATGGAATTGTGACTATTTCATTAAGTGTCACCCCAATCCTGACTTGTATTACCACCAGGTAAGCTATAAAATGTCTATTAAAACACGATAACACAAATACCCGAAACGGAGGCTGTTTAGTTTACGATTACCTGCACTTTGTGAAGTGAATAACGAGACTACACGTTGTTACTGTCACTGTGTGCTAAGATGAACTGTTACAGCAAGTTATTTTTGTTGTGTGATTTGACGTTGTCTTCATTATTATGTTCAGTGTAGACGACGTGGCGCGTTGAGGATGGTATTCAAATCTACAATATAACGTAGACAGCATTACAAACATTAAGCAACAAATTGACGATTTGCTTAAAAGTGTAGGTTAGTTAATAAAGGCTTCTCGTTCGTGTTGTTATTGTAAAACCTAGCAAAACAGGAACGTCCGATTCATTATCTGAAAGTGTTTTCTAGTTTTCATGACAGTAATAATCGGACTCAGTTAATAATGCTTTGGTTTCAGTTGATTGACGGTCCAACAACTCATTTCTAAATTATTAGTATTTTTGCCATTATCCTGGATTATCATTCCTAACACCCACACACTCACATGACGAATTAAACATACTTGCTACATGTTATGTCCACGTCATTACAGGTTGGTGACCCTGGTATTGACCACAGTGTGTGGGACCGACCAGAAAACATTTCGATGTTGCGACCAGCGTATGCGATAGGGGAAGGAGAAACTGGTTCTGATGTTGCAGGTGAAACAGCAGCTGCCTTGGCTGGATGTGCTAAAGTTTTTGCCGACTATGGTAAGAGTGTGCTCTTTCGAACCTAACTATATATGTGTTTGTGTTGCACTAATTAGTGCACCTTGTATCATTGATCCATTGGAATATTTCGTATAATAAATGAAAAGAAATTGTGATACAGGAAAAATAATACAGATAATTTTATCTAATATCGTATGTATTATACTAAGAATTAAGAAGTTGGGGGGTATGCAAAAATGTGATATGCAATGAAAATCACACGCGAATTGAAGAAGTCACGCGAATTGTGAGATGATTACGAAATCGCAAAAGAAACACATATATGTGGGAATCTGTGAAAGAACTGGTTCGTGCTCATATCAAACTTCTTCATAGTGACGTTGCTAATTTTGGTTTTCGGTTCGCTCATTTACGTTTACGCAATCGAACATTATCAAGCACCTACTTTATTAGTTAAAAACTACTTCGATTGGCGCACATAAAAAGGGATCACTTTCAAAAGTTCGCAAGGCGCGTGAGTTTGTTTCTCGTGAGATCTTCGTCGTATATCACTGTACAAATGTATATGGTTTCGAAGATTGCATACGTCTATCCTAGGTATACTTGCTTATATTTAATATGCAAATATGATTGTAATTGGAAATTAATTGTTCGATCAAAGATGAATAATCTTCAATTTGTATATGCACTGTTATTATCCTAAGTGCATTGGAATTCAATACTACACATAACTTTTAGATTCAGTGTCAACGTCATTATTAGAATAAATTAATTATTGAGTGTTCTTTCTTAGACCCAACTTACTCGGCACAGTGCCTGGCAACTGCACAGTCTCTGTACAGTTTTGCTGAAAGCCACCTTGGTACATACCCACAGCAAACATTCTACGTGTGAGTTATTTTATAAACTATATCTATACTATGTATATATCCATTAAATTCAGTAGCTTCTGGGAATGAAGGAACGTTACTAAGTCTTAATAACTGTCCTTCCGTCATCACTACAGGTCGACGAACTACTGGGACGAGATGGCATGGGCCGCTATTTGGATATATTGGGCATCTGGTAACGTCTGGTACCAAGCGGAGGCAGAAACGTTGTTCGCTACGAAGTCACTCAGTGTCAAGTCATATGCAGCTGGCTGGAACGACAAGAGGGAACCGCTCAAGGTTATTACTCTATTTAGCAATATAATAGTTTTGTAAGTTTCTGGTGCGCGCGTCATATCCTGTCATATGAAGAAAAGTGAAATCGAGCATGTGATAAGTCAGGGTGTTATAAAATAAAATAACTGATAGGATGATTATCTTAATTATTATAACACGTGACGACTAGCTACACATGGGAACAAGCAAAATGGCGTATTCGATAATCTACTCGGGTAAAACTTTCAACATCACATTAATGTCAATTTACGTCGATTACTCGTTCATGTTAACGTGTTAATTTTGATAATGATAGTGAAAATAATAATAATATTGTACTTAAAAACTTCTACAACTTTCTAGCTGCTGTTGTCGGTACTTTCCACCAATGACGAGCTTTCAAAGTCCTACCGAGGTTATTTTAAGACCTACATTAATGGTTGGCTGCCCGAGGCCAGTGTACCATATACACCTCTTGGTCTTGTTTGTCGGGATCAGTGGGGTTCTCTTCGATGGGCAGGTACGTATGTTGTCACACTGTATGGTTTAAAAATCAGTTTTAAACGTAGTCCACGCGGATCGCCGCGACTATATTCTGTTGGTAATCTGGCAGTCAATCTCCAGAATGGTACTTTGTTTAAATACTTCAAATTGTCCCTAGTGAATAAACAATTTAGGTTTAATCCCCTTCTATTGTCATCATGTGATGGTTCTAGTTTTGTATCTAATACAATCTTGCAAGTTAGATTTCATGGCTTTCATTCTTGGATTTTGTTAAAGGGCGGCAGTCAAAAGTTGTGGTGAATCAATGCGCGCAGTCAGTAAATGCGAGTGTTGGTGTGTTCAAGATGAGCAGTAAATACCGACTCTTTAAAAGTTTGTTGGCGCGCTCCAATTTTCTGCGCGACGACCGCCACCATTCAATATTCTTTCCGGAATAGCGCCCTCAAACATTACAACTCTGTCTGCAATTCACTCCAAACGTTTAGCATTTTGGCCGGCACTGTGCACAATACCATGCTTATTCCACGTTATATCACAAGTTAATTGATGAAAATAAAGTTTGTGTACAACATTTCAGCTAACACTGCTGCACTAGCGATTCTAGGCGCCCATTATGACGTCCGAGCTGCCGCCTATACAACTTTCGCCTTAACGCAACTCGACTATATTCTTGGATCCAGTGGACATAGTTATGTGGTAGGTGTTGGAGAGAACCCACCAGTAGAGCCTCACCACAGAGCCAGGTAACTCTGTTATATCACATTTATCTTATTTGCATATTTATTAAATAATAATTATCTCTACTGTTTCTATTGCGACTGAATACATAAACAGTCCTGCAGTTAATCATAGCTTTTGAGCAAATGTGTTTACAGTTCCTGTCCGAATATCACCGAAGAATGCACCAACACAAACAGCTTCAACTACGAAGGTCCGAATCATCACGTACTGCGTGGAGCTATGGTAGGTGGTCCAGATTGTAACGATGTGTGGTTCGACAACCGCGCAGATTATGTCAGGAACGAGGTGGCATGTGACTACAACGCTGGTTTTCAGACTCTTGTAGCAGGTAAACCTACTCAATGACGCTATAACGTACTCTGTATGGCAGTTTAGCACGTATCATTGAGTTAGTGCTAAACTGGATTCTGAAAAAAACAAAAAAACAATATTTATGTCCTATATGCGCGCTGCTGCGTACACACCGCGTTGTCCATAACGTGTTGCAATTAACCCTATCCACTTCCGTCTAGTATCTGAAAGGGTATATATTTTGGTGTTAAAAAATACATTCTGACAATCAAAATTATCATTGTGAAAGTTTTCACTACATCTCAGGTGGATTCATTTTTGCACTCTCGCCACTTTTAAATCTTGTATATTTTTCATTTTAGGTGTGCACAGTATGGTACTGGGAGGGATTATAGTATAAAAACGACAATCTACGACAGTCGCGTTCAAATGTGTTCCGATATTCATATCATGGTTTTAGTGTTAAATTCTGAATTACTTCATATTCATTCATGTAGCAATAGATTGAATAAAATATAGTTATCTCATTATGTGCATTTACATCAATACTTGCTTTCGATAGTCGTGAAAATTATGTTTCCGTTCGTTAAGAATTGACCAACGAAGAATGAGAGACTTATTGAGTGAGTATGAACCTAAGTAACACGATCGAATCCCACTGTTTAACCGAAAAACACAAACAAAATAAGAAGAAAAAGAAAAACTTGGTCAAATCTTTACGAGACAGATAAGCCGATTGCTAAAAAGAAGACGAAATGCGCCTCACATAACAACAATTCATAAACGGATAATATAGGTATATATTTGCTTACCAGTTAAATAATTGTATTCGTCGGTTTAATTTGACAGCATAAGCCACAGACAGACAATACCGCTGTGGACTGGGCTGAGCCATGATCGTAGTTTTGGCTTTTTTTAATTGGCCATTTTGTTTCCTGTCAATTCATGACAAACTGACTTTTAAATACGCACTGTGTGTGAAATATGTTGTTAGTACCCTGGTAGAATCATGGGAACTTGTTATTGGGATAGAATATTATTTTACAAGGATCTGTGACTGGTCATGTTGTGTGATTTTGACTTTATCTTTCATAGATGAACTTGGTACAAGCATATACCTTATAAAGGTCTAGGGTACAAGACGTATTTAGAGAATAAACTGGCCCGGAGGGAATAATGAGCTTAAATGTATATAGATCTCACAAAACAGACGGTTATTTTTTCAGCGTCGATAGTCTCCGTTATTACTCTAGCTTTTTTAGAACAAAGTTTACAACTCTCGATGAAACCGTGGTTTAAACTTATCGGTGTCACACTCAAAAGCAGACTACGTACACTATTGACGTTATGCTGTCGTTAGTTATGGTTGAACAAACAAAGAATACAAAATAGAAGAGCATATATATTATCCATTTTATAGTCTGTGCCATTGTGATCATAACAACACCGTCAAACGAAACTTATAAAACGCGTGTAAAAATGTACACGTACCCAGACACCACAACCAATCATATTTGTCACTTATAACATCACATGCCGAGTAAAAATCTACAAGTCGTCTATTGCGTTATGGGTACTTCGAAATACCCTCTATTAGCGACAATATTCCTTAAAAATAATTAAGTTTTCGCACAGCTCCTTGGCACGGGCTAAGAAGTCAAACACCCGTGCTAAGAATGCGTGTATGGACGCTTACTATGGGCTAAGGTACGTTAAGTACGGGTTAAGTCTAGTCCGGTATTAAGACCCAGTCGGGATCTATAGCAGGGGCTAATGTAGTGTGCGCGAACTAAGCGCCCAAACATTATTGTATCTGAGCTCATTTGAAAGATTTACTATTATATTCATAACTTTTAATTTCAATATGCCATTTCCGACATGTCAATCAACTCGAGCAGATCTAAGGACAAACGTGTTTTCGAGACAAACATAAAAAAGGCAAAGCACATAAACATGCATCGCACAGTTTCGCTGAAGCCGACCATTCATAACCGTCCCGTGAGTCCTAGACTGGCAAAGTTGAAACTTCTTATTTGTTTTACAAAACAAAATATAATTAATTGTCAATTTAGCCTTCTTAACGTGATCGCGAAAGAAATCCCGACTGGACGCATCTGCAGGCGACCCCCTGCGTTGGAGTGATAACCGGAGAGGAATCTCTCCGCTGATTATGCTAATTAAAAGATGTTGACTAGCATTGACAACGAATCAAAGTACAGCTGTATACGTCATCTCTTATCGTATCTATGGTCGTGACCTTTCACGTCTGAGGTCCCGGTGCTTTTGAAAGACTACTTATATACATTGGACATTTAATGAATGAAAGTATCGCCTTTGCACTTAGAAAAGGTCACGTTTACTTTCACACACCCACTCATGAATAATCAGTAAAATCATGAATAATTAATAGCAGTCAAATGCCCGCAAATGCGTCCAGTTGGGACTTCTTTCAAGTTAGCGGTAAGGTTAGTTTTCACAATCACGCTGAAAGGAATAAAAGAACAATTAATTATTTCTAGTCCCGACTTTGCCAGTCGTGTTAGGAAAGGCCGTATTTCACTGCAGCTAAATTGAATCATTTGATTGGGCGTGCCAAAAAAGCTGGCGCCACCAATCAGAGTTGCTGTATCATATGTCGAGGTGAAGCTCGGGAAGCTCATCACAGATTACAATAGCGCGTGTAGGCTTTGCGCTGATTCACCGGGAGTCGAGAACAGAAAATCTATATTTGTTGACATGTTTCCAAAATTTATGAACGTTGAAAATTGTTTGTGGGCAAGTGAATGAGAACGATGGAATGTCAAAAATACTTGTGCAATCTCTGTTTTAGTAAACTGACAAAAACTGTGGAAACTGATAACATATCGACTTGCCCGATTTGGTCTTCGTTGCAAACAAACACGTAATTTCCTCAGATACAGCATTAAGCGCTTTCTTTTGATGACCAGTAAGCTCGTTCAGAGAAAAAGGTAGCAACACGTTTATTAGATTCTGCCATTTTAATTTTATCAAGTAATGTGTAGTTTCTTTCGTGAGTTCTGATTGGGTGATGCAAATGACATGCGACATACAGTAAATCGTGTTGAAATCTGTTAATGTTGAGGCTTTGGCCGAAAAAATGGTCATTGGCTGGCAAAGATGATAAACATATACAGAAACGCAGATATACAGACAGAAGCACGGACAAACAAATAAAATTAACTCGTCAGTTAGAAGGGATAATCTGAAGTAAGACGTAACATTCTATGGCAAATTACAATCACTTGCTCAATAAAAAATGTTTACTCAGTTCGTTGAACCCATTACAAACACTGGGTAAAAGCTGGTTTATTCAATAATATTAGTATTATTATTTATAATATCGATATACTATATGTTATCATATCATGCACGGCGTTATATCCGAAAGACAGGACGTGAGAAAAAAAAAACTATGCAAAAACAATAATTTTAAATTCTATGATCGCCAGTCATGAAACATGGTTGTCGTTGTTGTCGTAACTGACATTTTGTCATAACTCCCCCATTAACTCGAGAAAAATAAATCGGTATTGCTACAATATCTAATGATACCTCTAAGACAGTATAATTCGTATATTAATGATTGCAAATAATATTCCAAAGATGAATAAAAGCCTTTAGAATGTACCAGCTGATGAAAAATTATATGTAGTAAGTAGCCTCGTCATGATTTTGGCTTCAACATTAATATCCAACATTCATCACGCATCCATTGGACAGCGCCCTCTAACAGGATTCTTTCTTGATACAGTGGGCGCAAACATTAATGATATTCAGTAGTAATATTTTTTTATCTCAGCTAACAGGAACATTGGTATTTTTTTTGATTTTTTTAATGATTTAGCATGATATGTTACAATGGCCGCCAATTGGGCGTTCAAATTTTCCCCATTTCCTTAACGGACTACGTCATCTTCACATTTCCGGATGTCTAAGTACGTATCAGGAGGCAGCTTTATATTCACGGAGGTCAAAGGTCGAATCTATCCACAACTCTGACAAGACTGCTCGCAGGGAGCGCCAATGTTGCAGATTAAAACCATACAGCATCGTCCTTTCTTCTGTGGCGTCGCTTCAAATCCGTCGTCAAGTTCGAGAGCATCAGCAAGATCCCCCGGGGGTTTAAGATACCTATCGATCCTGTCGACGTCGTTGCTGTTTTCGATGAATTTATCAACAACATTTGGCAGTTCGTTAATTTTGGGACGTTCTTCGTTTTTCATAAGGCGGTTCAATCCGCGGAGTGTTAAGTACATCCGTCTCGTCGGGTAAGCATCAGACGCTTGCGTCACGAACAGCACCACCACAAAGCTACAGAGCAGTGTCACTGAGAGCGCCTCCCGTGACATTTTTATTTCTAATGGCAGGCGTTGAGAAACTTGAGTAGTCCTAAAACAGAGCAGAACGTAAAGAAATCAATGATAAGAGTAATTATCTCTAAAGATTACAGCGCTATAGACTCAATGACGCCACAGGCGTGTATGAATTTTGTATGAAGAAATTGAAACGTTTTGTGGGGTTATTTAAACCATGTTCACGTTCAAATCATGCAATGACTTGAACATGGTAATAATATTGAAAAATGATAATGCGTATCATTACCAGACCACCCCTAGGACAGAGAATACTATCAGGTTATTACGAGGGTACATTAAAGTATGCACGAAGACAGTAGAGCGGGAGTATCAACCCACGCGCAGCGGAGGTCGTTGCGAGGACGTACTGTCTGAGTACATACTTTGAGGTATTCTCGTAATAACCTTATTATTATACATCTATTCCTTCCAAAGATACGTCATGGGAATGTCGAAATCCAAAAGGTTTAAACAGAATCAGCGAATTTCTTTGTGTGCAGTCCGGTCAAACTCTGGTGGCAGCCATGTTTGTTGTTATTATTTGAGGACGCTTACACGCATAATCATTCCATATTTGGAATTCGCATTTCCTTATATGGTAGGATGAAACTACCCCGTAAAATACCGCAAAATTACCCCCACGCTGCAACTTATTGTGTTACGGTGACCTATGTATAATATAATATAATAGTATATATTTTTGTTCAGAGTGGTTTTGTTATAGTCGACGTGTGGTTCTACCATTCACAAATCTAGAGTATTTAGGTTCGAGGTCCTATTAGCGGCATAAATGACTGACAATTTATTCTTAATTTGAAATGAGGCATATTTTTTCAGCGGCGGGAATCGTACTCGGTCATTCTAAACTCTTGGAATTATCTATTACAGAATGGGTCAATTTACACACACCCTTTCAGGTAGGATGGAAGTGATTTTTTAAAGACAGAACACGCAGAAAGGCCATTTTTGCTTTCGTAAATGTTCAGTTTACACTCTTATTGGGTAGGTAATTAATCATAGTAATGATACTATATTATAAGATAATACGACGCCTTGAAATTTCGTCAGTAAAAAATGTTTCGTCAAGTTATCGAAAAGTCATGTGCAGTTGTGAAACATCGCAAATTAGAAGGTACTTCAAAAGTGTAAACCTCCATCGCAGCTTCAAATTAATCATCTCTACAATGACTGCAATGACGAAGAGTTCTTTAAAAATTCACATTTCTATGACATTTAGATCGACATATCTCCCCAATGTCTACTTCACAACCGAATCCCGATCAATCCCAACATGCAATCGACCCCCCCCCCCCTCGTCTGTAATTTGTATACTTGCATCTTGCTGACAGATGTACAAACCGTTAAAAACATAATCACTTTGGCGGATGTAATAATGTAACAATATTTTTTAACCTATGAGGTAAGGGGTTACAGATATCAAAACGAATTCAAATGTACGAAAGAAAATTGAAAGGAATAGAAAACCAGCAAAATTCGAATTATTTCAAAGCGTGACATTTATGAAGTAAAACTAAATGAAACTGAAAAACACTGGAAAAAAAACGCACCATAAGTGACAATAATGTATTCATATTTAGAACGCATGCATAGAAAAATCATCTCTCCTTTCAATTGGTCTGTTTGCTCGTGAGTGGTTGCGTATTATAAAGGTCAGGACAGACAGTATTATACTTGCATTTGAAGAGGAGCTATACTTTATTCCAGGAAAAGACGTTTGTCACAACGCTACATTCAAAACAACTGAAACAGCTCCTACTCAGTCCATGTGATTACGGCGAGCACAACCAGCGGCGACTATCGCCATTCGTTAAAAATTTAAACGCGGATAAACAGGCGCCATGCATATTTTATTTGGAAGGTTAATTAAGTACCAGCCTTGAACAGTCGCCAGAGCAACTGTGTAGCCATGGGCATTTAATTGCAGCTACCGAGATTAAAGTCTCTGCATGTTGTACAAACATGGCGTTCTGTAGCCTCTGGGAAGACGTCCATAGTTCTAAATACCATACTACGAAACTCATCATCCCCGTTACACGTGACTCGCGGCATTTTTTCTATACTGACTTTTTTGGATTTACAGTTCACCCAATCACCAATTATCCCAGAGAAAGGCAGGGTCACCGAGTGTTAAGTCCTACCCCAAATGAAGACAAATTTTACCAAAAAAAACGACACATAGACGTTGAAGCATGGAGTTAAGCTTCATGGTTGAAACTATTCACATCTTAGATTACCTAGTGACGTCACATTGCAATATAAGCACTGGAATGGTCCAACGAGAAACAGTGTGTATCGTGCATGTATATTATAGGCGACTGCTAACACACAGAGCTTTGTCCACGGTGAACCAAAAATGGCGTGTTTGAACATAAATGCTTCGTGACACTAAACCAGTACTGGAAGCTACGCACAAACACGATATAATTGGTTCTTCCCATGTTTTACAAATTCGTGTTTCCGCCAATGAGCAGGTCAGGCGTAGATATATTCAATTTGGGTATGACACCGCTGTTAAGGTAGCATCAGGGATACATGTGTTACAAATTGATCAGTGATTCAGATATACTGTAATAGGGACTAATCATACTACTACAACGACATATACACCATTAGAAAGCTTAGACATAGGGGAATACGGTAGTACATTTATCGTGTACATATTCACATGCTCAAGGCACAAAACCCGAGCTTCATTACACGGACAGATTCTCAAACCACAAAGCCGGCGACACCTTGCAAAATGCTCAAACAGCAACGCCGAAGCCTTCTTACCCTGGGACAAGTTCAAACCACAATCCCGGAACTCCATTGTACGAATACAAAGCCAACGACAAGGTAAATTTACACACAACAAAACGGGAACCTTCTTAGACAACAAAACTTGGGCCTCCTTAAACCATAATGCCAGTGACTCATTAAACGGATAAAGATTCGAACCCAAGCACGGAATCCTTTTTAGACGGAGAGAAGTTCAGACCAAAAAACCGAAGCCTCCGTAACCACAATATCGGAGCTTCACCTCATGGGTAAATGTTTTAACAGCAAAGCTGGCGACTCATTAGATAGACAAATGTTCAAACCACAAAACAGGGGCCCCATTAGATAGATAAATGTCCATCACAATCAGATCAATTTTTTGGGGAACAAATTGTCACACCACAAAACCTGTGCCTTCCTAGACACAGAAATGCACGTTTTCAAAGTACAAAGCTGTCCGTCGGCTCCTTACCCTGCGACATGTTCACTGTGTTTAAACCACACAATGAAATACCTATAATTACGGTTGTGTATTCTTCACATGAGGTAGAAACTATTGTATTGTATCGAGAGTATGACAAACGCAGTTGAAAAAAAGGGAAGAAAATCACAAACGCAGCCGAGCTAGCGCATGACAAAAATAACGATCTATGGTACAGCTTCGGTTTTGATTACCGTCATCGACCATGTATCAATGGATTACAACTTCTTTGGTTTACCCAATTATTATAAACTACATCTTTCACCCCGTGATACTGTAACATATAATAAGACTAAAAATGATGATATATTCTCAATGTAAAGACTGTATTTTGACTGGGCTAGGGATTTGGATACGTGTATATGGAGCAGAAATGAAAAATATAATGGTTGTTTAAACTATATTGATCAAACCCGGAATTATTTCTCAAGTGACAAAACTACAACATACTACAATTTTATATTGTACGTTGTGTGCGGGTTGTCTATCAGTCTGGCAACCTTGAAAATGACAATACAATATCCTTCTGCCACATCAATTGGTAGTCGTTATCTATATAATGCAAACTAACAATCAAACATATACTTACAAGACCTTGATATATATTAGTTAAAAGAGTATTTTAGCGATTGAAACATTACTAAATACTAAATAGATCGAATAAAATTACGGATCAAATGACGTAACCGACAACACATTACAAGGAAAATTGTGTGAACGAATTTCTTATTCGATATCAACGTTGATATAAGGAAACTACTAGAGCCTTGATCAATTGGCGACGCGTATACAAGTTTGAATAATGGAGACAAAACTAACATATAACGATTTCCGACAATTCAAGGTTTGATGAGGTAGTTGATTAAGGAAGATAGTTAAAATAAATCGATGGGGTTCCCATGAGAGAACTTTGGCCAGCGGCTGCGTTCATTGCAATGAACATGTGCCCACTCATCTTCCAGCTATTTGAGGAAATTTGTATGTCCGTGGTCGATCCCTTAAAGTTACATATATCCTGCCAGTGGAACTAGTGAAAATGTAGCACAACTGTTTAATTTATTTATTGTAGAATTTTACGATTAACTGACAAATCAAATAAGTAACGGACCTCATTTTCCTACAAAATGATTAACACGTTTATGAAACTCAAAACAATAAAAGAGTGTTCGAGGCGAGTAATTCAGAATAAATCAAATGACTTTTTCAAAACTATATTTTACTTTCAATGTTTCACTCCATACTTATACATGAAAGAATAAACATACGAATATCCTTGTGTGCACCACAAAGTAAAGGTTTATCACTTGATAATAATTATCTATCTATATATATATATATATAGTGTCATACTAATATATTGTCATCTTGATCATTTTAATCCTAAAACAATAAACATACCACGACTATTACGTATAACTAAAATTTATATATTTCATATTAGTTTCGATTAAGGGGTTCGATTAATTTAAACAAGTCACTGTAAATGACAAAGTCTCCGCAAAGGAACAGTTTGAATCAATAATGTCGATTCAGTGAAACTGGTGGGACCATCTTGAATCTGCAACCCACTGTATTGACATCATAAACAGTTTGATTCAAATTGGCTTTGCCAATTCAGGAAATGTTTGAGGATACCTTGAAATATTAGCATTTAGGTTATTGCACGTTAAAAATGACCGCAAGTCGTCCACATATGGGCGAATCAAAATTGACGTATGCATTTTTCACATCGTGAGTTTATACAAAGGTTCAGAAGAATCAATACATGTTTGTCCGAGAAACGACTCTTGAATTAATAGCCCCAATATTCGGACTTCTTCTAAAGGGGCAAATTAAGTACCCGCAGCTTAAAATATAGCTAAGATCAGTGTTCAAATACGCAACATGTTATCCTTGTTTTACAATAAATATTCATGTTGATTATAATTTCTAATCTGCATTAGTGTGTGATTTATTTATAATGTACTCCAATTCCGACTGCTTTCAATTAATAATTTAAATTAAAATCTAATAACATCCACACCTTTACCACTTAAAGCCAAGATATATTGAATATATTCGTAAATAAAATAAAAATAACACTGGTGAAAATAATGAAGAATTATCGTGGTGTAAGTGAAGACGTTCTACACGATTACAGTCACAGAGCAATTATGGTCGAAATATCGCATTGCTGAGTAATACTAACGTATAAACCAGTGTATGATACCTTGTACGTACTATTAATTGAAAGTGCATGCGCACTGCGTTATTCATCATTTAATTGAACATTTTCATTAACCCTAACGTATATTTTCGACTCTTTCATAAAATAGAGCAACATAATTGCTTTCAATATTTTTGACAAATCTTAACCAAGACGTGCAGTCGATGGGAAATTATGACCATTTAATATAAAATATAGAATGTAATTATAGAAAAAAAAAATGCAAAATGTTGTATGCCAATTTTGGCGAAAATACGGCGTTAAAATGGTAAAACAGCACTATATAACATATCACAACGTCTGCCTATACACTAGGAGAAAACAAAACTCCGTTATTAAATAACTATTCAAGTACACAACAAATAAAAATAAAAATGTTGGCGCATGATATTCAGAATTGTCCAAAGCTAACTATCATTACCTTTTTTATGCCTGCATGATATGTTTGTACATTTCAGAAGTACAATTATTATACAATAATCGATAATCGATATTGCGACTTAAATAATCGTCCTTGACACAAATAATTACTATTAATTACTATTTCTATTAGCTATAACTCTGACTAGACATGTATAAGTAAAAATGAATGTATATAAAAAATGAGCAAGAGATAATTTCAAAATATGCTGGGTGCTGGCATTGTAATCTCAATTTTAGGGTCAATATTTTTTAGTACTGGCAGTCTAATTAATATAATCCTGTGTCGATCAATACTAGTTAGGTTATATTTTTACATTACAAGTATGCTCTCAATGGTAATTGGCAAATACTGATAAAAAGCCGCTTATTTTCAAGAATGTTTTGTGCTTATGAAGAAATCAAGAAAATTGAATGGTTTCTAAAACCTGTATTTAATGTATAGTACTAGATTGTATATTTCAAGTCATATTTTCACTTTTAAATTGTGGATCATCAAATTTTGATTTCATAGTGTGGTAGAGCACAATAAGAATAATATGTCGAAAACACAGTATAATGGGCAAACGTGTATTATTACAGAAAAAAACACAATAAACCTAAACTTTCTTTCTGACAATTATATTAAAATCAATGTGTTTTTTTCTATTTCTTTACATATCCATACTAGTAGCAAAATCATTATAGAACAATATGTATATTTCGCTTAAAAAAGTGGACAACTGTAAGAATATGTCACGAGAATTACGAAAATAGAAAAATGCACAAAACCCAAAATAGATGCACAGGTGTTCTAAGTAAAACCACTCAAAATGTTATTAACGCGAAATTCCTTTTAATGTAACCCTGGGGTGAGAATGATGGACAGTCACACGTGGAACTATAAATACAAGATTATCTACAGCAGATTGTGTATGAGGCAATCAATAAATGTAATTCGTTCTACATTAAAAGCAAGTATATGTATGCAAGGATCTGATTTCCATGTGCGTGCATGAAAATGCCTGCACGTGGTTATTGTATGAATGACCTGGTATTGACACTTACGTCAGTAAATATGCTTGCCCACGTTCATTGCCATTTGTCTATTGCCGAGGAATATGTTTTTTCAAGTGTGCGTTTGAATTCCATGCTACTTATAGAGACACCAAGTGTAATAATTTTAAAGTAAATCAGAGGTTTTTCTCGACACAGGCTACGTAATACAGATTTTGCTCTCAGTTCCCCCAAAATAATCAATCGGATATTGCAAATGTTAAACTTCGACAATATGTCCGATATTATTTCTAATTCGTTGCCGACATCGCATGCGTGACACTATTAAGGATATATATGATTGCATTCCAATAAATTATACACTAATAATACGTCAATTTGTCTTTTTTGTGATCCCGGGATTGAATAATGATATTTAATAGGTTAAATAAATATTAAATATATTTTTGTATCCGCGTTTTTGGAATTACTTTCAATCATTCGTCATTTATGTCATATCATCAGTCATACCTGGTCGGCAATGTAATCCCCAATAAATGAAAAGTAGGACGTGTTTGGCGCGTAAACCCTCCGATAATTATATAATATAGTTCACTCATGTGAATATGTTTAAAAAAAATATATTCCTTTACATGTATATTACAGTGTATTCGTCATTCGTAGATAGTTAATAGTTTTACGGGTACCTATAGTGCAACCATGAACAATTTTTGAACTTAAAATATAAATTGTTAACATATGTGTGCACTTCCGTTCGTCGTCGATCTGTTGAGGTAGAAAGTAACGACCAGTTTTTGAATCAGTCTTATAATGAAATCGTATTTGTAAATGGCTGTATTTTGTATGGACACTGAGAGGTTATAAAGTAATTCAATTGTGTTGTCTACGTTAGTGTGGTTATTTTAAATGCCCACGGAATTTCTTTTCTCCCTGGCGAATTCACGCAGTAGCGTCAATTAGTACATATTAAAATCGTAGTAAACTTAAGACTTAAAGGTGAGATGTTTAACTCCGTGCGTGAATGCAACTGCGAACAGCATCGTCACAAGGAGGTAAGTAGACACTATACTGTGGATTTCACTACATTAACGTACATATTGGAAAAATCTATTTTTCAGTCTATTTTTTTTTATTTGAAGTCAGAGCCAATTTGTCAGAAAGTACTAGGCAACATATTGCACGGCATCGTAATAAAACGATAACACTGGTAGTGATTATTTACCAAAAATATGACTCAGATAACGTAGCATATTAATCTCTGAATTGATTAAATTCAACAAAAATCTTGCAGTTTCAACACACTAACAAAATAGCAACTCGTATATTGCTTTAAATCCAATAGTTCAAAACTATCAAATGGCAAGCTTATGTACCAGGTCCTGTCGATAGGATAATGTTACTGATAGTTTCTTATCATACATGTAAACGAGAGTACATGACACTCGGAACCGAGTTTTTGAATCGAGATGCCACAAAATGATACTAGTATAGTGGAAATAATATCCAATCCAATCGATTTCTAACAGCAACTTTACACGTCTTTGAATATTAGTATGCCTACTTTTTATCAGCTGGTCTGGTCTTACTCGTTTTTGCCAGCATTTCAAACAGAATTTCTGAAAGTTTGTTCACTCTATCTAATCACTAATTAGTGAAATATAAAAAAATATGATATTCTGTCAACGCCATGTGCACTTATATATACCACAGTCCGACGAGAACACAGTCTGTCTTAGAAAATGCGTAAACTATCACATATGATCACTTTAATGGCAAGGTGTGTGAACATTTACATTCCTATATACAATATCAAATGTATTCAAATTCTTTTAATAAGAAAGAAAAGAACAATTTTACATTACCAAGCAATGCCAGCATGGAGATCAGACTACTCAAAGTTTATTCACCGCGTTCGCGGATTTACGAATGTGTGGTATGGCATTCACTAGAAGAAAGTTTCATTGTGCGATCATGACTGTCATCGCCGAGAAAAACGGCATACACACATATAAAAATAATAAACAAATGCGTCAAAAATGTAAACTTACTTACTTTTTTCTTTATTATTTGTCGATTTTCTCTCAAAGTAAAAATTGCAGCATAATACCAACAATCTGTAAAAAAACGTTTAAAACAACATCAGATATTATTATATTATTAAACATTTGTCGAATACAAAATATCGTAGGAAAACAAGTAAAGGTATCGTAAGATATAGTAATAACACAGTGACCTCTTACGGAGATGGTATATAGATCTAACGGCTGAGTCGTACTAGATCAACTTCTATCATGCACGTGTTAGAACTACTGCAAGAGAAAGATTCTCCACTTATCGCAGTGCGAAAGTCTCTTAACAATCCTCAGGCTTTGTGTGAACATTTCTTGTAATACGTTGATAATCGCATACTTCTTCATACTTATGTCAGGTTATTATTATCAAACGCTCGTAAAATAACATTCAATATTTCAAGTTTCTTAACTTGGTATTGCAATTTTGACGCGGAGTAAGCATTTTACTTACCTACCTTAGTGATTTTATTGAACAAAACGAGTGAAAAACTAATTTCACGTTTTTTTGCGTTATCCATTTTTGCGGTATTAAAAGCTCTGCTAGATATAAAAGCCAACATCGGGCTTTTCATTTTATAAACCTAAATTGCTAGTACCTACTTTAAAACTAAAAAAGAAGATACAGCCGCGAATATTCGTATAAATACACGCCAATGGTAAGGCTACGGAGGAATGATGCAAAGCAAAAATAAGCACTTCAATCATTTTTCTGGTATTCCCAGAGTAACAAACAACTCACCTCAAGACTTTCCGCTGCGCCACGTACTAAACAATTGAGTTACAAGCGCTGGTGCATGTTATGTTTTAAATAGTGATCACTCATACATACCAAGGTAAATTCACCAGTGAGGAAAAGTCGAATGTGAATAACTTTTATTTGATTTGCGTTGAATGTCAAACTGTGACGTGGACCGCATCACGATGAAAATAGCTCTCACTGCGCATGACGTGCATGACGTGCATTACAATTTAATTCATCAATATCGAACACAGCTCAAACATTTTGATATGACGTAATCCATGTTGTACACAATTTGTTAAGGCGATTTAGCACTGGTGACTAGACAATCAGCAAGCATATATGCATTATTATATTTCAGTCGTCAGATGAGAGTCTCCGTGTGTATTTATATTTTAACCAAATAGTAAATCCTAGATTATTCATAGTACCGTTTCAATCATGTTATTGCAGATTTAGAAGATTTGGGCGATGAGTAATAAATAAATAAGATTTCACGGTAGCATAAATTCGACGGCAATGAGAATTTAAGTTTAATCTTAATTTCCGTGTTCAATATATGTTGATTTCAGCTTAGCCGGTAGTATATTCCACTCATTAGATAATAGTTTATTTATTTGCATTCAATAATTTACTGGCTTTATAAATCTGTAATTGAT